AAGAGGGAGGTTCCTTTTCCTTTCCCTCCTGCACAAAGACTTCTAAAAAAGTCCCCCAGATTTGATCAAACAAGGGTTAAAAAAGCAAAGTCCAATATTGAAAAGGGAAAAAATTTCCGAGTTATTTCTCTTGTAACAAGCAAGGCAGCTTAGTAGCAACTTGGAAACTTTGTAGCAAAACAAAGTAACTTCACACCAATCCACACTCGCTGGCTCGTTAACTCTGAAGCTAGGCGCCATGTTTTTTCAAAGCACTTTCACTCACTCGCATTTTCTCAAATTGAAAAGTCAACAAAGTGCTAATACTTGCGTTTCCAAATTTCAGGATTCAGGTAGTTTCGCTGTTTATTAAAGCTGGTTCTTTCGCTTTAAGTTTCCTGCAGCCGGCTTGTTCTGCAGAAGCAGAATCGTCCCACGCCGCCCGGAGTCTCAGCAGGTTGGAAGGGAGCCGCGCCTGTTTCCTCCCCAGAAACAATTCCCTGGGGGGTTACAGGGGCTCGACCTGTGCCCTGCTATCTCTCCTCCAATAATCCTCAGGATTTTGAAGTTTTCGAGCCGCTTCTCGATCGCGAAGCGGCTCTACAGGCGGCGGGGCTGGCGGAGCTTCAAAGAGCGCCGCCGTCGCCGAAGACAAGGAAACCGGAAGTCCCTGAAGTCCAAGAAGCTTCTTCAGTTCTTGACATTTTGCTTCTCATCCAAGAACTGAAGAAGCTTCTTGAATGAGAACTGAAATGTCTTCAAGAAAAAACAAAGTTCAGATGCCTTTTGAAAAATTACCTTTGGGGAAGCATGAGCTGGATGACTGAGACTCTCCATAGATAGAAGGGAAGAATGTAACATGGAATACATGGGATTGTCTATTTTTGTAAACTACAGTTTAAAAAAAGTCTAATTTAAGGGTTATCTCAACTTCTGCTATCTGCATTGACATGTCCATTCTTTTTGCAGTGACCATAAAACTGAAGTGGTTTGCCATTGCCTTTGTTTGATTTTCTCCCTCCCCCCTCCCAATCTTCCCAATTATAGCTTGGGATAGCCTGATGGCTTTTCCATTGAACTAACCAGGTTTGAGCTTACTTATGTTCTTGAAGATCAGCCATGATTATGTACTGCTATTGGTACTTGTCACATACTCTGCATATTTGAAATCAAAAGAGTTAAAAATAATACCTGTAACACTTTAGAGTAAGGTGACCAGACGTCCCGCTTTTGGCGGGACAGTCCCGCTTTTGAGCAATTTGTCCCGCGTCCCGCGGCGTTTCAAAAAAGTCCCGATTTTTCTTGAGCCCCAGCTGATGGCTAGAAGAAAAAAAAACTGTTTAAACTCTTGCCCGGGGCTTCAAAGGGCCGCCCTACAGGCAATCAGTGTAAAGCAGTTTTTTTTCCCCCTAGCTAAGCTTCAGAAACGAAACCGAAACCAGGGTCTTTGGTGCAGCGTGACAAAATGAGGCAGAGAGAGATTTATTTTTATTTTTATTTTTCCTCCCCAAAAAAGGTAGGTGAAAAACTGCAAACAATGGGAAATTTAGGAGGAGAGTTCAAGATTTTAAAACACAAAGGAAAAAAAGCTGTATTTAACTAGGGAATTGTAATAATTGAGATACTATTAATTGTATATTGTGTTGAAAGCAGAAATGGTTAAGTTGTGGTTCGGAGGAATATATGGGAGAAATTATTTGGTTTATTATTATTGGTAAATATAATTAATTGATTTGTAAGAAATTGGATTGCATGGAAATAATTGGAATATTCATGTTCATATTGATTAATAAACAAAAAAGATAGTTTTATAACTAATTGATTTATATTAAAATGTTGAATTTGTATTAAACAACTGTATTACATAATTACATAATTAAACAATGTGAGGATGGATATAAAAATAGATGACAATGGGAAGGGGTATAATATAGAATAGAAGGGAAAAATTGAATTTGATTAAGATTAGAGATGAGGATGAAGGGTAATATTGGTTTTTTTTAAAAATAGATGAGGAATAAATATGGCAAAAAGGAAATATAGAAATTGTAAATTTAATTGAAATGACTAAACGCTGTTTAAATTTGTGAACCAGCCAAATATTCTGTTCAAAGAAAATACATTGTATGTTTGTATGTGTGTTTCTAATTATTGCTATTTATTCATATTTGTTCTCTTTTATTCTTTAAAGTTTAACAATTCATTCTTTATCTTAATATCTTTATATTTGCTTGGGGTTGGCTTTCTTCCCTTTCATCTTTTTTATTGTACAGCAATCTTTCTCCTCAAACCTACCACCTCTCTCTTTCTTTCCTTCTTACTTTCTCTTCCCCCCACCCTCTTTTTCTCCTCCCTACTTCCTCTTTCTTTCTCCTTCTCCTCCTCTCTTCCTCCCTCTCTTACCCTCACTCCTACTCTAATTTCCATTCCTTCATCCCTCTCTATTGCTGTAATCCTTTAATGCATATGGACTACTCAGAGGGCTGAAAAAGTTATTTTTGACTGGTCCTCACACTTTTGACCAGTCCTCGAATTTATGACTGTCCTCACATTTTACATTTTTGCCCTATCTTGTCATCATGGTGAAGAGAAGCAGTTGTGAAATGAGTGACATGGTTGTTAAGAATGCTGCATGGGCATAAATGTGAGGATGGTCATAAGTGTGAGGACCAGTCAAAAGTGCGAGGACCTGTCAGAAATGACTTTTTTCAGCTCTCTGGTTAGTCCTTTTGTGCATATGGACTACTCAGAGGGCTGAAAAAGTTATTTTTGACTGGTCCTCACACTTTTGACCAGTCCTCAAACTTACGACTGTCCTCACATTTTACATTTTTGCCCTATCTTGTCACCATGTTGAAGAGAAGCAGTTGTGAAATGAGTGACATGGTTGTTAAGAATGCTGCACGGGCATAAATGTGAGGATGGTCATAAGTGTGAGGACCAGTCAAAAGTGCGAGGACCTGTCAGAAATGACTTTTTTCAGCCCTCTGGTTAGTCCTTTTGTGCATATGGACTACTCAGAGGGCTGAAAAAGTTATTTTTGACTGGTCCTCACACTTTTGACCAGTCCTCGAACTTATGACTGTCCTCACATTTTACATTTTTGCCCTATCTTGTCACCTTGTTGAAGAGAAGCAGTTGTGAAATGAGTGACATGGTTGTTAAGAATGCTGCACAGGCATAAATGTGAGGATGGTCATAAGTGTGAGGACCAGTCAAAAGTGTGAGGACCTGTCAGAAATGACTTTTCAGCCCTCTGAGTAGTCCCTATACACATAGCCATGGCCACCCGGTCACATGACCAGGTAGCCACGCCCACCCAGTCACATGGCCTCCAAGCCACGCCCACACAATAAGCCACGCCCACAATGGTGTCCTTCTTACCAATGTTAAAATCTGTTCACCTTACCCTATAGACATAGCCATGGCCACCCGGTCACATGACCAGCTAGCCACGCCCACCCGGTCACATGACCAGCTAGCCACGCCCACAAAATAAGCCACGCCCACAATGTCCCTCTTTACCAATGTTAAAATCTGGTCACCTTACTTTAGAGAGAAGCTATCCCATAAATGATTATACTTCTTTAGAGAGTAAGAATATGATGTCCTCCTATGACGTATAACAAGCTTCTTCTTTTAGTGGACAAGTTTTTTTTGTATTAGCATTAGAGAGATGGGCCTGCAGTGTTAGATTCCAGGTGAAGTTGCTACCATTTTGCTAATGTTTAGCTATTGCAAAACTTACTGGATGGGTGGAATTCAGTATCACTATGTCTTCATTGTATAAAATACATCAAAGAATTTGTGAATAAGTCTTAGGAAAAAACAACTCCTAATTTCAATTTTGTGAAAAATTAAGGGCAAAATGGTAATGACTATGCAATGAACCAAACAATAATACTTCACTTTTTTCTACTTTGCTTTTATAAAATTGAATACACTTCATATATATGTACAATTTCCCATTTTCTTTTAAGAAAGTAGTATATGCAGTACAAGTGCCTAAAAACAGTCTTCCAGACAAGATTCCTATGATTGTCTAAGAACTGAAATCCTTTCAGCTTTATGGCCAGTTATTTCACTTGGGCAAGAGACATTATTGTGTTACATTGGGGATTCACTCCGTATTACTGCATATATCCTGCTATGTTTTACTACTGAAAACCACGGAACATATTGTTTGTTAATAACTTATGAGAACATCCGTTGAAAATTAAAATTCCTAAAGTTAACTAAAGTGCTGGAATTGCTGTATACATTTAACCATAGCAAAATTTGCTTGATGTTGGATTTTTGTTATGCGAGAGCCACATGGCTCTCACATAACAAATGTGATACGTTATGTGAATATGGCCTACATATTGGTTGTGTGACTATGGCCTACATAGTCATTGTGTGAATATGGCCTACATATTCACACAACGAATATGTTGTGTGAATATGGCCTACATATAATACGTTATAATGCGTTGTGTGAATAATGTCTTTAGAAGGTAATATTTCTGCATTCTACTCATTTTCTGAGTACAGCTGGTAAGTCTGCTTGCTCTAGGCTCATGAGATGTTTTCCTGTATCCCAGACAAATAAATAAAAACAGCGAAAGAGAAAATTACAAGAGGATGGAGAAAATTTTTACTTCTGTATATTAGATCAAATTGCTCCACTGGAGATATATCAAAAAATCAAAGAACAATAATAGTTCTTGATAATATCGAAGAATTAGTGGTTGGGCCTGGATTCTATCTTGAAGTGGAGGTTAATTTTTTATTTAGTATATTGTATGAATCAATGTTGAAATTTGTAAACCATAGTTTATAATTCTACATTTTTTGTGAATCATAGAACCACACTGTGGTTTTTTGAAATCATGGCTAGGCAAGCCATGGCTTTATGTGAGGTGTGAGATCAGTCTGCATAAATCAGAATTGTTTGTGTTCATTGCACTATCATTAAAGTTTACTAATCTCTCTTTTCTCTTTCTTTCCTTGGGCATAATGATGGGGCCCTTTCTTGCCAGTCTTGCTTTGCATCTGCCCTGTGCATTCGGTGTGGGCTTGTGTCCGTTCCTGTCCTGCCAGTTGTATCTGCACTGAAGAGAAGAGTTGTGCCATTCTTTGTGACAGAGCTGGCCTTGCACAGATCCCTAATGAGTTTCCTTGTGAAGCATATTCTATTAACTTGGATAAAAATAACATCAAATTCCTTGCTGAGAGGGCATTTGGTACTCTCCCGTCCCTAAAATCTCTCTCAATAAGCCATAACAACATATCCTTTATTACTCCTGGTGCTTTCAAAGGGCTTGCTAGCTTAACTGATTTAAAAATGGCCCACAATGAATACATTCGTTATCTGCATACCAGGACTTTTATTTCTCTCCAGAGGCTAATCCGATTGGATTTAGCAGACTGCAATCTTTTCAATATTCCAGACAGGATTTTTATAGAGCTTCCAGCTCTTCAAGAACTCTTTTTCTTTCAGAATAACTTCCGAAGGATCCCAGGAGCTATAAGAGGGATGGAGAATTTGACCCATGTTTATTTGGAGAAAAACAAGATTGAAGCTGTAGCATATAATTCACTTCTGGGCCTGATCCGGTTGAAATATCTCAATCTGCAAATCAACAGAATAAATGTCATTCATAATAGAGCTTTTCAGGATTGCCAGAAATTGGAATACCTTTATTTAAATGACAACTTAATCAGTGACCTCCCTGAGAATTCCTTTGATGGTCTGCAGCATCTAAAGATGCTTAATCTTGGTGGCAACTTTCTCAAGATTGTCTTTAATACTTGGTTCCAGGATCAATCTGAACTGGAAGTTTTGTATTTGGACAGAAACTGGATCAGTTATATTGAGGAAGGTGCTTTTGAAAACCTCACGAGCTTGGTATATTTGCACTTGAACAGTAACAATCTAACTACGTTGCCTTTCTTAGTCTTTCAACCAGTCTACCTCCTAGGAAGACTCTACCTTTTCCGGAACCCCTGGGAGTGTGATTGTAAGATTGAGTGGCTAAAAGAGTGGATGGAGAATTATGGACTTGTGAGAGATATTCCTTGCACTTCCCCATCTTCAGTAGTTGGCCTTGACTTAATTGATGTTATTTTTGAGAAGACAGATGAAGGTATATGTCTTGACCCAGAAGAATTAAACACCTCATCTTCTACACCTCTTCCCATGCAAGAATTACAGTCGACTACAGAGAATAAATTCAACAGTCTTATCTCAAAATTTCTACTCCAGAAGGGACTTTCAGAGGAAGTGATAAACACTACAGAAGGTTTCAGCAACATTACTCTGTTAGATAGCTTGATTAATGAAGCATCTTTAGGACTAAGAGAATGTCATATAAAACAATATTTTAATATTTGGGTATTCTTTATGTCTCAAGCATTATGGACCATATAACCCAAAATTCTTTAAAATTAATTTGGTTGTTTTTCTACTCAAGCATGGATCAAAAAAAGAAGATTGTGATATTAATACTATATTTAGAACTAAATATAAAAATATCTTCTGGGCCCATATTTTAAAATAGATTCATATTCATAATTAAGAAATTAAAATGAGAGAAAATTGAAAGGTAATAAACCCAGTTGTCTTTATTTACTAAGGGAGTTCTGCAAAAAACATCACAGGTTTCACCACTATTACTCAGATATAGAAACAGTACTATAGTATTTAGAAGTTCTGAACGGAATGGAAGCCAAAAAAGAGTAACTTCCCTTACCGAGGTTTCAGGGACATTTGGTACCTGTTGTAGGAAATGATATATTGGTTTAGATCAAACAATGTCAAATTCTCAGTTTCATTTGGTCATTTTAACTCTCCTTAAGAGGGTGGTTTTAAGCTAAAAAAAAGGAATCAATAAATGTAGTACACAATGAGCTTTAAGCATCACTCCTCTTCTATAGAAAAACATTGTACTGGGGCTTCCAATGGCCCCAACCCTATTGGATTTTAGGAAAGATTGAAAATATGTTTGTTCCAGTGAGCTTTGGGGGTAGAGATGTTATAAGGTTGTTCCTTGTTTCAATATCTTGTTTATTCAGATTTTTATTACATCCTGATATGTAAAACCAGGACATAATAAAAAGTCATAGAACTCAAAGAGGGTACTTTCTTTTTCACATGATATATCTATAATTAATACCATGTTTCTCCAAGACAGGGTTTTATTTTCTTTTGATCCCCAAAATTTTATTTATTTATTTATTTTATTAGGCTTATATGCCACCCTATCTCCAATGGACTCAGGGCGGCTCACAACAATAAAAACCACAATAATCCATTATGCAAAGTTAAAATGCCTAATTAGATCAGATACTATTAAAAACCCGTAAAAAACCCCATCAGTCCAGGCTGGGGGACTCGAATAACCAAGTTTTTAATTCGCGGCGAAAGGTGCGAAGGTCAGGGGCCAGCCGAAGCCCCAAGGGGAATTGATTCCAGAGGGTGGGCACGCCCACAGAAAAGGCTCTACCCCTGGGGGCCACCAGCCGACATTGTCTCGCGGATGGCACCCTGAGCAGGCCCTCATTATGGGCGCGAACTGGGCAATGGGATGTTGTTGCTGGTGCAAGTGGTGCGCCAAATATCCTGGGCCTAAGCCATGTAGGGCTTTATAGGTCATCACCAGCACCTTGAATCTCACCCGGAGGGTAACCAGCAACCAATGCAGGTCACGCAGGAGGGGTGTTACATGGGAGTATCGGGATTCTCCCATCACAACCCGCGCGGCTGCATTTTGCACCAGCTGAAGCCTCCGAGTGGTCCTCAAGGGCAGCCCCATGTAGAGAGCGTTACAGTAGTCAATATGGGAGGTGACTAGCACATGAGTAACTGTGCGTAGGGCATCCCAGTCCAAATAGGGACACAACTGGTGCATCAGATGGATCTGGGCGTATGCCCCCCTGGTCACGGTCGTTATAGGATCTTCTAAACTCAACCGTGTGTCCAGGAGGACACCCAAGTTGCGTGCCTTGTCTACAGGGGGTAAAACTTCATCCCCTATAGCCAGGATGGAACCTCTCCTATGGACCGAGATGCCGGTACCCACAGCCACTCGGTCTTGGCAGGTTGAGTCGAAGTCTGTTCCTTCCCATCCAGACCCGTACCGCTTCCAGGCACTGGGTCATCATGTCGAGGGCATCACTGGGCTGGTTTGGGGTGGATATAAAGAGCTGAGTGTCATCACCGTATTGATGGTACCTCACCCCAAATGATCTCTCCCAGCGGTTTCATATAGATGTTGAACAGAAGGGGCAAGAGAACCGACCCCTGGGGCACCCCACAGGTGAGGGGCCTCCAGGTCGATCTCTGCCCACCTGCCAACACCGCTTGTGTTCGACCCGAGAGGTAGGAGGAGAACCACCGTAAAATGGTGCCTCCCACTCCCAACCCCTCGAGGCAACGCAACAGGATACCATGGTCAACGGTATCAAAAGCTGCCGAAAGATCTAATAGGACCAGAACAGAGGAATAACCTCTGTCCTGAGCCCTCCGGAGATCATCCACCAGCGCGACCAATGCCGTCTCCATGCTGTACCCAGGCCTGAAACCCGATTGGTATGGTCGAGGTAATTCGCTTCATCCAGGGGCCAGCGGGAGCTGATGCGCCACTACACTCTTAACAACCTTCGCTAGAAAGCAGAGGCTGGAGACCGGACGAAAATGACTCAAAACAGCTGGATCCAAGGCTGGCTTCTTGAGGAGGGGCCTCACCACTGCCTCCTTCAAGGTGGTCGGAAAACTTCCCTCCCTCAAGGAAGCCGTTATCACCGCCTGGATCCAGCCGTGTGTCCCCTCCTGAGCTGAATAAACCAGCCAGGAGGGGTACGGGTCCAGCACACAAGTGGCCACACTCAGCTTCCCCATGATCCTTTTCACTTCCTCTGGGGTAACAGAATCGAACTCTTCCCAAAGCACAGGACCCGCTGCCTCCTCACCGTCTGACTCTGTCCAGTCAGAGTCCAAGCTGTCCCGAATCTGAGCGACCTTGTCCAACAGGTGCTGGCTAAACTCCTCGGCTTGTCCCCGCAGAGGGTCTTCCCTCATCCTCAGAGTCAGGAGGGAGCGGGACACCCTGAACAGGGCAGCCGGGCAATTCTCTGCGGATGTGATGACATCGGCGAAGTAGCAATGCTTTGCTGTCGCCAACTCCACCAAGTAGGCCCGTGTGGTCCCTTAACTGGGACCGCTCAGATTCAGAACGACTGGCTCTCCAATGGCTCTCTAGGCCTCGGCTATGTCGCTTCATCCCCCGGAGGTCCTCGGTAAACCAAGGCGCCAACCGGGATCTGCGACATGTCAGAGGCCGCAAAGGAACGACCCGGTCAAGAGCCCTGGCAGCACCCTCATCCCAGGCATCCACCAGGGCCGTGGCCGGGATGTGGGAGAGAGAGAGAGGTCTGGAACCTCTCCGGATCCATCAGGCGCCTGGGGCAGAACCAGATGGTCAGCTCCACCTCCCAGCGAGGAGGGGCAGCGTACCGGAAACCCAGCCGAAGGATATAGTGGTCAGTCCATGACAGGAGATAAATGGAAGACAATCTCCTACCGAGCCCCACTCGCCACTGCTCCGAGACAAAAACAAGATCGGGCGTGTGGCCCCCCTCATGTGTCAGGCCCTGAATAATCTGAGACAGGTCCATAACTGCCATGGAAGCCATGAACTCCCGAGCCACCCCCGACGCCCCACCCAGGGGTGGCAGATTGAAGTCCCCCAGAACAATAAGTCTGGGAAACTCCACCATCAGCCCCGATAGGGCGTCGAGTAGCCCGGGCAGGGCTGTTGATACTCAGCTGGGAGACAGGTATGCAATCAACAAGCCCAATTACCCACATGGGCCCCACTTCATGAGGAGGGCCTCACACCCGTCTATCTTAGGAGCAGTGACCTCCCGCGGACTAAGGGTCTCCCTAATAACAACTGCCACCCCCCTCCCCTACCCTGGGCCCTTGGCTGATGCAGCACCCGGAAGCCTGGTGGGCAAAGTTCAGTCAGAGGGGCACCCCCCTCTGAGCCCAACCAGGTTTCCGTAACGCAAGCCAGGTCTGTGTTTTCCTCCTCAATCAAATCACGAATGAGGGGAGCTTTGTTAACCACAGACCTGCCATTAAAGTAGATCAGCCTGAGCCCAGTAACCTTATGTCTCAAACCCCCAGGGGGTCAGATAGAACTAGGAGGGTTGGAGCATGCCACCACTTGAAGATAGTGGGGGCGAGCTCCCAAAAACTGATATGGCCTTCCGTTCCTCCACCTGCAGCCATTCCCAATCACAACCAGAATCAAAGATCCCACCCTCACCTCTGGGGCACCTGGGTGTCCCTGCACCGCACCAAGACTGCCGCCCCCTCCCCATAACCTGGACTGCCATCGGCCTGGCAGCCCCCCCAGCCACCTGCCGGATATCAAAACCCACCCCTCACCCCAATCCCCTTAAAAATCTAGCTAAAAAACAATGTAATGTCCCCTTATTAAAACCCTTAAAACCCTCATGCCACTTCTCGGGATCCCAGGACCCGTCATTAAGGTAGATCTTTGCCAGGCCAGCAGGCCACTCCCAGGATAGGGGAGCATCCCTCAGAGCAACCAAGTCCATTCTTGCATACGTTCGTAACACCATCCTAAGACATCGAGGCACAGGGGACAGTCCATGGTGAATGGGGTATATCAAGCTGGTCGATCCGTGGAGACAGGAACCTCCATTCCCGGGCGTCCTCCCACTCGGAAATGATAGGAGATGTTAGTCCTCGCCGTCCTCTCACCACAGCAGGTTCCTGAGTCCACTGGGGTCACCTGAGGTGGGAACCATCAGTTGTTGTTGCCCTCTCACCGCAGCATGACCCAGTCCTGATAGAAAAAACAGAGTCCATAGCCGCCGTCTCATGGCGGCGGCATTATCCTCAGGGACTGACCATTCCAGGGCTGCCAAATAGGAAAGTCCGGGGGCATAGATGACAAATTCCAGCCTGTGCAGATGTGGCGGAAGTATATCCGGGGACATAAAAAACACTAGAGATTACAGGTCCAGGTCCAGGCAAGGCCCTCAGCCGCCCAAGTCCCCCATCCCACCACATCCGACACAGTTGGTAAAGGTCCTCAAATGTCTCACCAGAGTGATAGTATGGGGGGGGGGGGCAAGCCAGCAAACAAAAACCAAAAAGGTCCAGGGTGCTAGCTCCACCCCCCCAACAGGTCCAGCAAGGCAAGATCACAATAATGGTGGAGGGGTGGAGGTGGGGGGACAGCTGTAGAACAACAAAGCAGGCCCCCCGACGCACAGCAACCCCTGGCCCTCCCGGCTCAACTCAGCTCGGCATCTCTCACCCACCAAGGTGTTTCAGGGGAGACCCCCGGTCGTCATGTCGCTGGCAGGCTCCTGCCCATCTGTCCGCTCGCCAGTTCACTCCGCAAAGCCCCAACTGTCCAGACCACCAGACTTTAGTCACCTGGGGTCTTGCCCCCGCGGGGAAACCTCCACTGTGCCACCAACACTATCCCCATTGCTGCAGGGCTGCCCTCGCTGCCTTTGCCAGCAAGCCTCCCTCCGCTTGCCGCCTCAGTCAGCTGGCTCGCGGCAAAAAGACTGCCGCAAAACAAGACACCGCCCCAGCGATTCCATGGTGCCGAACACAGGCTCTGCTAGACCTTCCCGCAGAGCCTCTGGGGATCTGTCCGAGGCCACCCACCTCCTCAGGTATTCCCTAGGCAGTCCATGCTGGGGTCGATGTCAAAAGACCCCAGGAAACCACC